AAGGGAAGGGGAGGGGAGGGGAATGGAGGAGAGGGGAATGGAGGGGAGGGGAGGAGAAGGGAGGAAAGAAGGAAGGAAAGGAGGGAGCATTCTAACCCAGCTGAGTCTAAATGTAGTCTCCAGATCATCACAGTGCTTTGCAGAGGTGAAAGCCTCAATGCTGGATGGTGGGCCATGGGTAACCAATGACCAGACCACCAGCTGACCACCAAGAGTGACCACTGAAGGTGAGACCTGAAGTCACTAAGGGCTGAGTGGGGGCTTCTGTCCCTGCTTTTCCCCAGAGGGGTGAAGTAAGAGCCACCCAGAGTTGCCCCATCCCCACCCCCCCACTCAGCACAAAGCTATTTTATACATTTGTCTAACTTGTAGCAAAAAATTTGGTCACAAACAGTATTCACCTGCTCTGTGGCAACCTTCTCCCACTGTTATTATTATTCTGAGGCAGCTTTATATAGATGCCTTACTAGTTCTACTTTAAAATTTTTGCATGAGATAACAGTGTCAAGTGTTCCACGGAGGTTCAGGTTCGTGTTGGGGAGATGCAGGACTTTGTCCTGGGCTAGCAGTATTCTCCGTAAGACCCAGGGTTTTATGTGACGGGTTTTCAGGTTTTTTTCAATGAAGTTTCTTAGAAACAACAAATCCATCAGTTGGGCACGGTGGCTCACGCCTGCTAATCTCAGCACTGTGGAAGGCTGAGGCGAGTGAATCACCTGAGGTCAGGAGATTGAGACCAGCCCAGCCAATAAGGTGAAACCCTGTCTCTACTAAAAATACAAAAATCAGCTTAGCATGGTGGCACACGCCTGTAATTCCAGCTACCTGGGAGGCTGAGGCAGGAGAATCGCTTGAACCTGGGAGGCAGAGGTTCCACCACTGCACTCCAGCCTGGTTGACAGAGCGAGACTCCGTCACACACAAAAAAAAGAAATACAAATCCATCATGTATATGGCAGGTATACAAACCAATAAAAATTAACACTTGTATGACCACCGTCCAGCCAAAGAAATAGAACTTTCCTGCTACTATGAAGTCCTGCCTCTTTCTCCCGTCTCCCTGTGGAGCCAACTGTGGTCCTGAATTTTATCATTCCCCTTGAGCTTCTTTATTAGTTTTGTCACACACACGTTTGTATACATCATGTATATGCACATGTGTATGTGTATATCCGTAATGACAGGCTGATGGATCTGGCATGTTTTTGAACTTATGTAAATGAAATATTTCTCTCTCACACACACACACACACTTCTGTGACTTGCTTTTGTGGCTGTTGTTGCTTCGTGATTCTTCCATGTTGAAGTGCACAGCTATAACTCATTACTGCTGTGCAGTGTTCCACTGCTTGGACACACAGCTCATTCATTCACATTCTTGTTAATGGCCATTTGGATTGTCTCTTAGAAGTACTGCTGCTTTGAATACTTGTTTAGATTGTCTCCTGGTGCATGGGCCAAAGAATTTCTCTAGGGCAGTGGTTCTCAATCCTGGCTGCACTCTATGATGACCTGGGAGAGCTTTGCAAAAATGCTGATGCCCTGGGCCCTACTCCAAGGTATTCTGACTGAATTGGGTTTTGGAAAGGAAACCCAGGAATAGGCTTTTGTTTTGTTTTGGTTTGGTTCGGTTCATTTTTGGAAGCTATCCAGGTGATTCTAATATGCAGCCAGTGTTCAAAGTGACATGAGGGTTGACATTGCCCAAAGTATCCTCACCAACAGTGAGTTCCCACCTGGCCACATTTTCACCCACACTTGGTAAGGTTTCTGTTTAGCCTTCTCCCTGCCACGAGGACAGGCAGCTGGGCTGTTCACAGTCTCTCTTCTCCAGTGCAGAGACCAGGGTGCTTCCAGGATGCCAGGCTCCACTGTGGGGTTCTCCCTTCAGCTCCACTGCCTGCCTGTGCACTTGGACCCCACTGTTACAAACAGGGGCCCATTCTGCAGCTCGGGGGTTTCTTCACCTGGAGCAGGTTTGCACCCTCAACTGCTCTCCCTTCTCTCCTGTCCACACTCTGGCTCCAAAGCCTCTGCTCTCACCTCCTTCCAAGTATTTTGTGGTTCTGTTTTGGCTGCCTCCTAACCCCAACGAAGGTGTGGTTTGTCTCTGCTATCCCCTCCATTTACTGCTTTTGAGTGATTTCAGAAGGAGGAAGTCCCAAATGTACACTGCCAAGTTCTAAGATAGAGACCTTAGAAAACAAAAAAAGAAGAAAGATTACACCCCTAGCCCCACCTCGGTCCACATTGGGCTGACTCAGAACGTCCAAGGACATTGGGCCTCAGTATTTTTTTTATTTTTTTGAGACGGAGTTTCACTCTTATCACCCAGGCTGGAATGCAATGGCGCCATCTTGCCTTACTGCAACCTCCACCTCCCGGGTTCAAGCGATTCAACTGCCTCAGCCTCCCAAGTAGCTGGGATTACAGGCATGTACCACCACACCTGGCTAATTTTTGTATTTTTAGTAGAGACAGCATTTCACCATGTTGGCCAGGCTGGTCTCGAACTCCTGACCTCA